ACTTTTTTTTTTTTTTTTTTATATTTTGAGACGGAGTTTAACTTTTTTTTCTCAGGTTTGGGTATTGGGGCGATCTCGGCTCACCGCAACCTCCGCCCCCTGAGTTCAGGCAATTCTCCTGCCTCAGCCTCCTGAGTAGCTGGGATTACAGGCACGCACCACCATGCCCAGCTAATTTTTTGTATTTTTAGTAGAGACGGGGTTTCACCATGTTGACCAGGATGGTCTCGATCTCTTGACGTCGTGATCCACCCGCCTCGGCCTCCCAAAGTGCTGGGATTACAGGCTTGAGCCACCGCGCCCGGCCATCACAGCATTACTTTTATGAGATGAGTAGTGTCATATTCATTAACATTGTATTAAACTGCAAGCCATATATTTCTTACTCTAAAAAGCATGTTAATAATTTTCTTTTTCTTTTGCTAATATAGAAATTGTCTGCCATAGTCTTTGATTCTAATATACAAACAGGTAAAAATTTTGTAAAACTTTTAAAGCATAGCTTGTGAAATAATGAATTCCTTTTTTTTTTTTTTTTTTTTTAGCTTAATGTTTTATTATAGGTTTTTGGTAGAAATTGTCACCTGGTGAAAAATGGTGACTACTTAGCAATATGGTTTGGCTGTATCCCTAAATCTCATCTTTAACTGTATTCCCCCCATAATCCCCATGTCTTGTGGAAGAGACCCTGTGGGAGGTAACTGAATCATGAGGATGGTTACCCCCATACTGCTGTTCTCATGATAATGACTGAGTTCTCACAAGATCCGATGGTTGTATAAGGGGCTTTTCCCACTTTTGCTCAGCACTTCTCCTTTCTGCCATCATATGAAGAAAGATGTGTGTGCTTCCACTTATGCCATGATCGTAAGTTTCCTGAGGCTTCCCCAGCAATGAGGAGCTGTAAATCAATTAAACCTCTTTTCTTTATGTTACCCAGTCTCGGGTATTTCTTCATAGCAGTGTGAGAACCAACTAATACACTTAGCTACAAATATCAAGTATAATTTTACAGGCTACGAATGATTAAAACTATAAGGAATAATTCTAGGGCCTACAGTCAAAGTAGATTTTCTGGTTTCTAATTGTTGTGTTATGCCCTGGAAAAAAAAAACAAAACAAGAAACAGGTCAAGTGCATTTTTATTTTTGTGCAATGTATAGTACAAAATACTGAGTCATCCGGGTCTTTTTTTTTTTTTTTTTTTTTTTGATGATTCTGACCTTTACCCAAGTGATTCATGTGTCCCTCCTGGGGTAGCACAAATGAATTATTTAGTCTCAGACAGTCTGTGATGCTGGAGGGCCCTTGGCCCTCAAGAGAATTCAGGCAGTGCCAAGGTCCATAGGCCCAATGTTAGATCAGCTTTCATTGGGATATTTGGAAAGAAAAATGGTTAAAAAGCAGACAAAGTTATACTATTTGAAGTCAAAGAATGAATAAATATACTTCGGATTAAGTCTACAAGAACTTGCTCAGAAATAAATGATCTAAAATGTGATTTAGAAGTAAGCAATGTGTATATCCATTAGCAATTGCAGTACGTTATACAAATGTACTAAAATGAGGAAGAGTATATTGAAATCATATGTGCAAGTATCTTAACCCTGGTGGTTTCACAATGCCTGATCCTTTGCAGGTCTTAACAAAAGTTTGCTGTGTGAACAAATGGTTGATAACATTTGTTTACATAGCAAACTTTTGTTATCAACCAAAGATAACAAATGGTTGTTATCTTGAAATCCAGAAAAAATGTAGAGAATAAAAGAACTCTAACAAAGGGAGAGTTGGATTGGATATTACAGAATAACCTTAGATGACTATCTGTGTGAAGAATGAAGAAATGAATGTGAAAATGAGTAGTTTTAGTGACTTTTGAAATTTAAATAAATCACACTTTAACCTTTGTCAACTATTGGGGTTCGAAAATGATACCCCATGAAATACCACTGTTTAGCTCTTTGCCTAAAAAAAAAAAATAGGAAAACGATACCCCAAAATGTGGTGCTTTGGCATGCTGAACACTTAGAAATAACAGAAATTAGAAGGCCTCAGAAGCAGCTTTAGAAGCAGTCTCTGACCTTCTCCTGCCTTCCTGTCTCCCATGTTACTTCTCCAGCAAGGCAAGCCATAGAAATTCAATTCCCTTTCCCTGAGGCTGGTCAGAGAAACCAGAACCCCTCTCCACCAAAGCCAGTCATAAAATCTGGAAAACTTCCTCTAACCTCCCACGACTTTCTGTGTAAGAGCTGGCCATAAAGATATTATCTGACCTACCTTGTCTGTCCTGTGTCCAGGAAGGATTTCTCCACAGGAAGGGCAAGAAGGATCTGAACAGACAGGCCTTGCTGGTTGCAGAGTATATTGGTCAGCTATATCTAGGCCAGCCTCAGAACTGAACCACCCTTCAAAATCATTTCCATAGTGGGGGAAAAACACCTTTCAAAATCCAAAGTGATTTATACTTTATCTTTTTTGTTGTTTTATTTTGTTTTTGAGATGGAGTTTTGCTGTTGTCACCCAAACTGGAGTGCAATGGCAAGATCTCACCTCACTGCAACCTTTGCCTCCCAGGCAAGCCATTCTCGTGCCTCAGCCTCTTGAGTAGCTGGGATTACAGGCATGTACCACCACACCTGGTTAATTTTGTAGTTTAGTAGAGATGGGGTGTCACCATATTGGCTAGGCTGGTCTTGAACTCCTCACCTCGGATGACCTTGGCCTCCCAAAGTGCTGGGATTGCAGACGTGAGCCACTGTGTCCAGCCTATACCATACCTTTGGACCAAAAGACCCTTCCCTAATTGAAAATGTCACTCTTGTGTTTTCCCCGATGAATTTACTATTACATTTGCATGTGTGTCCTGGAAGCCATCAGGTCTACAGTACAACTGACAATAAACCACCAAAGGGATGAAGAGCATTGGATGGCTACTGTCTCAATGCTTCAGTGCCATCTTGTTCACTGATTCACAGATTCAGGTCATTACACAGACCAGAGAAGGCTTCTTGAGACAGGGAACAGGTGCATAGCCCAGTGGCTTGAAAATGACTCCAGAGACTAATAATCGGACTGGGTCAAGGACCCAAGTAGATTTGCAAAAAAACTAGAGCTTGCCACCCTTTTTCACACATAGCTCCTAAATACCAGTAACAGCCAATTGTGACTCAGACAGTCCCCCCAAATTTAAATGTAATCATTACATTTATATACTAACTTATTTTATTAAAAGGCGTTCATATGTTGTTACTGTTTTTTATTTTATTTTATTTTGAGACAGGTCTTGCTATATGCAGGCTGGACTCAAACTCGTAGGCTCACGTGATCCTCACTCCTGAGCCTCCTGAGTAGCTGGGACTGCAAGAACATACCACCTTACCCAGCTCATTCAGTTACTAACTTACTGAATCTCAACTTGTATAAAGCAATTTATTGTGGAAGAACAGGCTTCCAAATTGTTTTAAGTAATGGTGATGTTTTAGGAAATAAGTGGCAGAGTCACAAAGTAAACAGGTCTACAGTACAACCTTGTCATTTCAATACAGTAACCATACCCAGATACTGTATTTCTCAAGTATTGCCAAATACAATATTTGAGGGATATCAGTGATTTCTTTGCACTTGATAAATGCATTATGTTGATACTCAGAGTTGAGTACATCAAATTGAGAACAGCAGATGGGTTGTAAATAACATTAAATGTGGAGTCAGAAAGCCTAGATTTTAGTCCCATATTAACTTCTTGGATGATTTTCTGCATTTATTCATTCATCCATCCACTTAACAAAGAGTTATCAGACATTTTATAATGCCCTGAGCACTGTAGTAAGTGCTAAAGCACACAAATAAAATGTATATTGTCCTTGCATTTATAAACTTGTATTCTATCAGAGAGGACAGACATCAATTTTTGAAAATCCAAGCATTAACAATGTAACTGCTATTTAGTGCTGCAAAGAAAAGTTACCTGAAGATTGTACCAGGGGAGTTAGCAAAGACTTGAACTGTGATTTAGGTCTATAGGATAATTAGGTGTCAACTAGGTGAATGGGGCTGCAGGAACCACATATGCAAAGTCCTAGTGGCTTGGGTGTGGAACCATTATATTCTAGGAGTTATAGAAGGCCAGAATGACTTGAGCTCAGAGAACAAGTGCAAACCAATGACCAGCAGTTGGAAGTCAACAAATGGGTCTGGAGAGTGAGGGAGATGGGAGGAGAGATGAGATCATTATAATTGTATTTCAATACATTAACTCTGGATGCAGTATTGAGAACCAATTGTAGGTGCACGGATCAACATGACACCAGTTAGGAGATTATTGCTGGAGTCCAGAAAATATAGCAGTTGTGTGGCTTGGTGGATATAACAAAAAAAAAAAAAAAAAAGAGGTAGGCAGAGGCAAGAGGATTAATAGAATTAAGTAATTAATAATAGCATTAAGTGGCTGGTCCGAGTGCAGTGGTGTTTACAACTAATTGATCACAACCAGTTACAGATTTCTTTGTTCCTTCTCCACTCCCACAGCTTCACTTGACTAGCCTTTAAAAAAAATAATAATAAAAAATAAAATAAAATAACAGCATTAAGTAATAAATTGGGTATAGGACGCATGAAGGAGCCAGGAGGTGTTAAGGATGAGATCTGGCTGGGCATGGTGGCTCATGCCTGTAATCCAAGCACTTTGGAGGCCAAGGCAGATGGATCACCTGAGGTCAGGAGTTCAAGACCAGCCTGACCAACATGGTGAACACTGCTCTTTAAAAGAAAAAAAGAAAGAAAAAGAAAAAAGGATGAGACCTGTATCTCTAACTGAGATAAAGAACAATGATAGATAACCAGATTTGAACAAGACAAACTCTGGAAGTCTTAATTTCTGTTTCTGCAAAGTATGAGTAAAACTTTATTTTGAAGTTCTGTCTAGTTCTAAAAGTGTATGCTTTCATTATATAGTCAATCATTTTTCAAAAATAAAGTGGCCTATCTTGGGTGGGAATTGCTTATAGGTAAATGTATTGTTTATTTATTGGTACATAAAAAAATTATCCCCAAACCTTAGTGACTTAAAACAACAAACATTCATTATCTCACAATTTCTGTGGGACAGGAATTTTGGAGCAGCTTGGCTGAGTGGTTCTGATTCAGGGTTTCCTAGGGGGAGCATTCAGGATGTTGGCAGGGGCTGCAGGCATTTGAAAGCTTGTCTGAGTCCAGATCTAGCCACTTCCACATGGCTCACGTACACGGCTGTTTGCAGAAGGCCTCAAGTCCTTGCAGGTGGCAGGGGGCTTCCATTTCTCACCACATGGGCATCTCCACTGGCTCCTTGAATGTCCTTACAACATGGCATCCGGCTTGCCTCAAAGCAAGTGATCTCAGAAAAAGTTAACAAGGAGGAAGCAGCAGTGCCTTTGATGATCTGGTGTCAGAAGGCACAAGTCACATATCTTAGACTGGGTAATTTATAAATAACAGAAAATTACTTCTCACAATTCTGGAGGCTGGGAATTTCAAAATCCAGGTGCTGGCAGATTTCATGTCTGGTGAGGGCTGGCTCTCTCTGCTTCAAATATAGCACCTTGTTGCTATGTGTCCTCACATGGTAGAAGGGCGGAAGAGAGAAAAGGGGGAAACTCAGGGTGAAGGCTCTTTTATAAGTGCATTAATCCCGTTCAAGAGTGATTTCGTTACCTCCTAAATCCCCCACTTCTTAATGCTACAACATTGGTGATTAATCTTCCACATTTGAATTTTGGGGGCACGCATTCAGACTATAGCACATACTGTCAATTCCATTTTATTCTATTTGTTAGAAGCAAGTCACTAAATCCAGCCCACACCTGGAGAGGGGAATCAGGCTCTATCATTTGACATGAGGAATATCAAATAATTTGTTGACATATTTTAAAACCACCACAGAGGCCAGGCACAGTGGTTCACACCTATAATCCCAGCACTTTGGGAAGTCAAGATGGGTGGGTCACCTGAAGTCAGGAGTTTGAGACTAGCCTGGCCAACAGGGTGAAACCCCATCTCTACTAAAAACTACAAAAAATTAGCTGGATGTGGTGGCGGATGCCTGTAATCCCAGCTACTTGGAAAGCTGAGGCAGGAGAAGTGCTTGAACCCAGGAGATGGAGGTTGCAGTGAGTCGAGATCATGCCATTGCATTCCAGCCTGGGCAATAAGAGCAAAACTACATCTCAAAAAAAAAAAAAAAAAAAAAAAAAAAATCTTATACGCTTGACACTTCACAAAGTGCTGGGCAACTTTTCTTGATAGTAAATAACACCGTTAAATAAAACTAAAGTGTTATGAACTTCTAGAAAACAGCTGCCTAGAATACTTAGTGCCAACATTCTGGATGAATATTTATTCATTTATTTATTTATATTTGGATTTCTCTCTATCTCCGTAATGAGACAAGGGCAGTCAAAGAATGTACAAAGCTATTGAGTCATAAATTAGTAACTTTCTTTTTTTTTTTTGAGACAAAGTCTTGCTCTGTCACCCAGGCTATAGTGCAGTGGCATGATCTTGGCTCATTGCAACCTCTGCCTCCTGAGTTTAAGGGATTCTCCAGCCTCAGCCTCCCGAGTAGCTGGGGCTATAGATGTACATCACTATGCCTGGCTAATTTTTGTGTTTTTATTGGAGCCAGGGTTTCACCATGTTGTCCAGGCTAGTCTCTAACTCCTGACCTCAAGGGATCCACCCAGCTTGGCCTCCCAAAGTGCTGGGATTACAGGCATGAACCACCACACCGGCCATTAGTGGATGTTTGTATCTATAATTATAAAATACTATAATAATTATCTGTGCATACATGCCTTCTGCATATATTTACAATATATGCATATATATGTATCTGTGCATACATGCCTTCTGCATATATATTTATAATATATAATATACTTTTATTTATATATATTATATATATTTATAATATAATATAATATATATTATATATAATATATATAATATACTTATATTTATAATATATTTATAATATTTTATAACATATATAATATATTTATAATATATAATATACTTATATTATAAATATATATGCAGAAGGCATGTATGCACAGATACATATATATCAGAAGGCATGTATGAGTATCTGTGCATACATAATGAGTATCTGTGCATACATAGCTTCTGATTACATATTGTAAAATAATGAATTCTGTAAATTACATATTGTTATGTATGAGAATCAATTTTTTTATGCAAATCAGAGTCAGAGCTGAATAATTTTACAGCTTGAAGAAAGCTTACAGATGGTCAAGTCCAACTTCCACATTTAATAGATGAAAAAACTTGAGTCCTCAATAAACAAACAAACAATTTTTTTCCCCCTGGAGTTCTCACTCAGTTTGTAGCAGAAAACCGCAGAGGGTCATATGGTAACAATGTTAGAGATGGGATTCAGTGGTTCTTTGAGATCTTGTTTTTTTCTAGTCCTGAAAATCTATGTTGTCTTCAAACAACATTCAGGAAAGGTACAATAGGCTTAACATTCTCCCTGTTTTAACACTGTTTCCAAGTAAGTTACAATAGTAAGGAATAGTCCATTAGATCTTTCAAGGTCACTTAGTAACTTGTTTATAGGAATTGGGAATGAAGCCAAGGTTACAGATTCCTTGGTTTAGATTCTTTCCACTCATTTATTACTTACCTCTGAAATGTTATTGCCATTTATCACAAACTAAATTGGCTTTATTATATATGCAGAGAAGATTAAATAATAGTTTTATCTTTGTGGAAGACTAATATACTCATATCTGTGAACACATGATGAATTATGTACTTATGTAATTTGATCTTAGATAGGGAGAGAATAAATGCAGGAATAGACCTGTGATTTCCTGACTCTTAGTTTAGGTACATTAGCAATCAAACTTCTATTGACTGTACTGAAATTTTATAGCTTTTATCAGCAATTAAATTTGTATGACTTACTAGGCATACAAAGTAAATGATAAGATAGTTTTATTTACTTTGCCTATTTTTAACTGAGAGTCATTATATTGGTGAACACATTGTGAATATGTACTTAATTAAATGTGCAAGATAATGTGGATAGTATGAAATATCTTGATTTATAATTGAAAAATTCTCTTGCATTTCTTTTCTGTTCTTTCTTTCTTTTCTTTTCTTTTTTTTTTTTTTGTGACAGGGTCTCCCTTTATTGCCCAGGCTGAAGTATAGTGATACAATCATAGCTTACTGTATCCCTGGGCTTGAGCAATCCTCCCACCTCAGACTCTTAAAGCGCTGGGATTACAGGTGTGAACCACCTCACCCAGCTTGCATGTATAGGTTTAAAAAAGTAGTTGTAATTTTGCATAATTATAGCTTTTTAAATATAGTGCTGGATGTGATGGCTCATGCCTGTAATGCCAGCACATTGCGAGGCAGAGGTGGGAGGATCGCTTGAAACCAGGAGGTTGAGGCTGCAGTGAACTATGATTGTGCCACTGCACGCTAGTCTGTGTGGCAGAGTGAGGCTTTGTCTCAAATAAAATAAAAGAGAAAAAAATTGAATAATTTTTTTGATGAAAAAGCATTTTAGTATATTATGATGCTTTCAGGTAATTTAATACCTAATACTGTCGAAAAATTCTTGGCTTATACAAAGCTGTATTTTCCAAAGAAATAGTTGGAAATTAAAGGTCTGTTTTAGCATGGTATGTTATTTAACAAGTATTTATTGCATGTCTCCTTTGTCATCGTTTTTAATATTAATAGTTCATATATTTCCAGTTACTGAATATATATTTGTTTCTAGATTGTCCATAGATGTTTCAAATTCATCATGTTCCCAACCTGTCTAATTATCTTGATCTCTTAGTTCTACTTCTTTTATACTCCCCATTTACCTTAATGGCACCTGGAAACCTTAAAATCATTTTCACATCTCATTTTCTCTTACCCCTCAAAGTCTATCTCCAAATCTTTGAATAGATTCTATTTTTCTCTTCATCCTTACAAACTCCCAAGTTCACACCCTCATCCTCTCTTGCTTGGGCCTTTATAGCAAAAGTCTATCTAAGGTAGACAGTTTTGATCTCACCATCTGCTCTCACTGTCACTGAACCAGGCAATCCATGTGGCTGCCAAGTTACCTTACTAAAATAAAAATCAGATCACATTATTCCTCTTCTTAATACCTCTTATGGATGCATTCCTATTTCCTCAAGGATGAAGGACAAACTCTGCACTTCCTGAATGGATCTCAACTTACCTTTCTGAAGGCTCTGGTTATGTACATTCTCATATCTAAACCTCAACCCCATCTTCCTCCTCAGGCTCTAAAGCTGGTTGTCTTTCCTCTGCTTCCCCTCTTAGAGCAGCAGTCCCTAAACATGTTGGCTTCAGGGACTGGTTTCATGGAAGACAATTTTTCACAGAGTGGCAGGGGGGTAAGGGGTGCAGCAGGAGATGGTTTGGGGATGATTAAAATGATTCAAGCACATTACATTTATTACACACTTTGTTTCTGTAATTATTACATTGTAATATATAATAAAATAATTATACAACTCACCATAATGTAGAATCAGTGGGAGCCCTGAGCTATTTTCCTGGAACTAGATGGTCCCATCTGGGGGTGATGGGAGACAGTGGCAGATCATCAGGCATTAGATTCTCATAAGGAGCACCCAACCTAGATCCCTCACATGTGCAGTTCACAATAGGGTTCATGCCTCTATAAGAATCTAATGCTGCACTGATCTGACAGGAGGGAGAGTAATGGGAGCCATGGGGAGTGGCAGTAAATACAGATGAAGCCTCACTCCCTCGGCAACCTCTCACCTCCTGCTCTGTGGCCCAGTTCCTAACAGACTACGGACAGGTACCAGTTCATGGTCCAGGGGCTGGGGACCCCTGAGTTAGAGAACTTCTACTGTCCCTCCCTCCACATGGTGTTGTCTTCTCTAGGCAGAGTGAGCTGCCCTCCTCTCTGTCTCCCTTGACACTAGGTGTCTGTCTTTATTGTAGCTCCTATTGCACAGCTTGTTTGCTTTTCCCATTACTGAACCAAAGGGCAGGAACCAAGTCTTACTCAAACTAGCAAAGGGCCTGCAGGTCAATGTTTGTTCTAGAATAAAACAAAACAAAACAAAACTGTTATGCATAAACCATTCTTGTAAAAGTATTTTTTTTTTCCATCTTCAAGAAGTATTGTCATATGTGCTAGTGAGACAAATGCTTTGTTAACTATCACCAGAATTCCAGAATTCAGAATTGGCTGACATATTGCGGAGAAGTAGAGTAGGACTGTAGCATAGAGGTATTAGTAACAGATTGGTTTGAGTGGGGTATTTTTTTTTTGTTTTTGAGATAGGATCTTGCTCTGTCACCCAGGGTGGAGTGCAGTAGCTTCATCATGGCTCACTGAAGCTTCAACCTCCTGGTCTCACACAATCCTCCCACATCGCCTTCCTGAGTAGCTGGGGCTATAGGTGCATGCCACCCTGCCTGGCTTATTTGTGTATTTATTTATGTAGAGACAGGGTTTCGCCATGTTGCCCACACTGGTCTCAAACTCCTGGGCACAAGTGATAGCCCACCTCAGTCTCTCAAAGTTCTGGGATTACAGGCATGAGAGCCACTGTGCCCAGCCGAGCATTTGTTAAGTGTATTATATGCTAGACTAGAAAATTTCTTGTAACTGCTGATTAATGTCATTTTTTTTCTTTAAAAAAATGTAGTTTAGCAAGTGTGTATGGTTTTTACCCCTTGAAATCTGAGGTGTTGGAATAAAAATAAGAAAGAAAATTGTTAATTAAATATCTAATATTTAATTTAAAAATTCACATATCTGATGCAAGAAACAAATCTGTTTCTGCACATTGTATAGATACTACAATCAATAGTAAACCTGACCCCTGACCATAAAATTCTGTTAGCTCAACTTAACACAATTATTCTCAGGAAAGAGTAGCTTTACTGCTTTTGTGTAATCGGCAATCCATATTGTAGTAAAACTCAACTTAGTAGGTTTTGAGGCTGGGTGCAGTGGCTCATACCTACAATCTCCACATTTTAGGAGGCCAAGGTGGGCGGATCATGAGGTCAGGAGTTCGAGACCAGCCTGGCCAATATGGCGAAACACTGTGTCTACTAAAAACACAAAAAAATTAGCCAGGTGTGGTGGTGCACACCTGTGGTCCCAGCAAAGGCAGGAGAATTGCTTGAACTGGGAGGCAGAGGTTGTAGTGAGCTGAGATTGTGCCACTACACTCCAGCCTAGGCAACAAAGCAAGACTATGTCTCAAAAAAAAAAAAAAAAAAAAAAAAAGAATAGAAAAGAAGGTTTTGCTTTGTTTTGTTTTTGGTCTTTTTGGAGCCTTTCTTTGTTGTCCAGGCTTGAGTGCAGTGGCCTGATCATGGCTCACTGCAGCCTTGACTTATTGGGCTCAAGCGATCCTTCCACTTCAGTCTCTCAAGTGGCTTAGACCACAGGTGTACGCCATCATGCTTGGACAAATTTTTTTTTTTTTTTTAGAGATGGGGTCTCACTATGTTGCCCAGGCTGGTCTTGAACTTCTGGCCTTGAGCAATCCTCTTACCTCCCAAAGTGCTAGGATTATAGGTGTGAGCCACCATACCCAGACAGTTTTCATGTTTTTAATTTTTGCATTTTATAAATAATATTGTGCATTTGTGAATAAAGCTTTTGCTCTATTTCAGAATTTCCTTCAGAAAGAATCTCAGATATATACGTGATTAGGGTTCCAAGAATTATGAACATTCTTTCTTTTGAAACAGGGTCTCACTCTTTTGCCCAGGCTGGAGTGCAGTGGTGCTATCATGTTACTGGGAAAAAGTCCAGATCCCAAGAGAGGGTTCTTGGATCTCATGCAAGAAAGAATTCAAGCTGAATCCATAAAATGAAACCAAGTTTATTAGAAAAGTAAAGGAATTGGCAGGGGATGGTGGCTCATGTCTATAATCCTAGCACTCTGGGAGGCTTGAGGTGGGTGGATGACCTGAGGTTGGGAGTTAGACCAGTCTGGCCAACATGGTAAAACCCCATACAAAATTTTTTTTTTTTTTTTAGTCTTTACTAAAAATACAAAAAAATTAGGTGGGCATGGTCTCAGATGCCTATAATCCCAGCTACTCGGGAGGCTGAGGCAGGAGAATTAAGCTCTTGAGTCCAGGAGGTGGAGGTTGCAGTGAGCTGAGATCGGGCCACTGCACTCCAACCTGGGCAACAGAGTAAGTCTCTCTAACAAAAAGAAAGAAAGAAAGAAAAATAAAGGTAAAGAAATAAAAGAATGATATAGAGCAGCAGCTTGGGCTGCTGAACTAAGAATATCTATAGTTATTTATTGATAATATGCTAAACAACGGTTTGGTTATCATGAATTATTCATGAGTTTTCTGGGAAAGGGGTGGGCAATTCCCAGAACTGAGTGTTCCTCCCTCTTTTAAACCATATAGGGTAACTTCCTGATGTTGCCATGGCATCTGTAAACTGTCATGGAGCTGGTGAGAGTGTCTTTTAGCATGCTAATGTATTAATTAGCATATAATGAGCTGTGGGAAGGTCTAGAAGTACTCTCAGTGCCATCTTGGTTTTGGTAGATTTTGGCAGGCTTCTTTATTGCAACTTGTTTTATTAGCAAGGTCTTTAGAACCTGTATCTTGCACCAACCTCCTATCTCATCCTGCACCTTACAATGCCTAACCTTCTGGGAATGCAGCCCATCAGGTCTCAGCCTTAGTTTACCCAGCCTTATTTTACCCAGCCCCTATTCAAGACCTCTCTGGGGTCAATGTCTCTGACAATCATAGTTTACTGCAGCCTCAAACTTTTGGGCTCAAGGGATTCTTCTGACTCCTGAGTGTCCTGAGTAGCTAGGACTATAGGTATGTGCCAGTACGCCTGGCTAATTTTTATAATTTTTTTGTAGAGATGGGGTTTCACTATTTTCATCAGGCTGGTCTCAAAATCCTGGGCTCAAGAGACCTTACCGTCCCAGCCTCCCAAAATGTTGGGATTACTCGAGTAAGCCTCAGCACTGGCCAGTTATGAACTCTTTTTTTTTTTTTTTGAGAAGGAGTCTTAATCTGTTGCCAGGCACCAGGCAGGAGTGCAGTGGCGCGATCTCAGCTAGCTGGGATTACAGGCGCATGCCACCACACCCAGCTAATTTTTGTAGTTTTAGTAAAGACAGGGTTTAACCATGTTGGCCAGGATGGTCTCTATCTCTTGATTTATAATCTGCTTCTGCCTCCCAAAGGGTTGGGATTACAGGTGTCAACCATTGCCTGTCCATGAACATTCTTAAGGGTTGAATTACAGTGCCAAACAGCTTTATAAAGAGATTATTTCAGTTTACACTCCCACTCACAATGTCTGAGAGTACCCTTTTTATCTCACCAGCCTTGAATGTTATCTTTTACTTAAATATTTACTAATATGAGACCCAATTAAAACGTTGCAATTTTTGGTCTGTTTGCTCTTGCAGAGGATAGGATAAAATCAAAGATTTTGGAGTCAAATGTATATTTGGGTTTGGTTGCTGCTCTGCCACTTCCTAGCCTTGTTACAATGGGGAAGTTACTTAACACTTTTTAAGCCGTCTTTATTTATCGACTGTTTTTTAAAAGGGTCAGTAATAGTATTTACCCCAGAGGGTTGTTGTAATGATTCAAACAGACAGTTATATAAAAAATTTCACACCAGTGTCTGGCACATGACCAATGACAGTGAATCCTTCACTTTCAGTTGCAAAAGTGTGTTACATAGTTTCCTTCAATTAGTGTACTATGTGGGAATTTACATAATACTTTTTTTCTTACCTACTTCATGGGAAGTATTACATAATACTTTGACGATGCTTGCAATCTGATGTGGTAGGCTGAACAATAACCAGGATAATTTTTGCACCCTAGGGAGAAGATAAGGGAGTGACCTTATGGTGGTGTTTAAGAACCACAAGAACCTATTTGGTTACAAAGCACACACCTGGTTCCCATCCTTGAGGAATTTGCTATCTACACGCCCTTGAGTTTAACCCTTGAGTCTCTTGGGGGCTTTTAATTGTTCAGAGAGGTCTCAAAGGGCAATAGTGGAAACTCGCTGAATAGGCAGCCTAGTGAAAGTGATTTGCAGATATTTCCTGGAAAAGCTAGTCTCACCGAAGGTAAATGCTAAGGCAGGAGTATAGGAATTATTTGTTCTATAAAAGTAAGTACACTCGGGAGTTTTGTTATTTGAATCCAAAGTTTGTTCACAAAAGATAAGGTAAATAAAGTATTGCAGGCAGGGCAAGCCAGGCGAATCTGATTTTGTACACCTGCCGTTTGTATATTCATATCAAGTTTTGCTCCCCGAATCATTCCAGCAGACAATACTGAGGGGAGTCCGCATGGATTAGACGACAGAAGACTGATCCCGAAGTCAGGCGCTTCCTGTCTCATCCCAGCCACTAACTAAAGTGAGTGGGCTAGACTTAGTCTAAGATCGAATGCCTAACTTTCTCTAAGTCTAGAATTACGTAGGTTTGGCGGCTCTTTGGGGCCCTACTTCCAACTTTTTCTTGCTAACCCACTTCTTCCAACTGCCAAGGCATGTCGTTGGTAATAAAAAATTATCACACTAAAGAACAGGGATCTGGGAAATTAAAATAAAAAAAAATTATCACACATCCTTGCTTGGATTAAAATTTGCACTCCTGATTTGCGGCCATATCCTTTGAGGTTTCGGTGAAGTTTAAAAATTGTCGCTGAAAAATTAAGTTTTTCCAGTTTGTTGAAACCTGCCAAAATAATGAAAACGTTCTTTGTGGCAAATCTAAATTCCGCTCAGGTAGGCCCTTTTCTCTCTCCCAGTCCAGGATCTTCAAACCTAACAGCCAACTCTCACGCTCCATTTGGTCCCCGGCTCCCTCTGGGAAGAATTTCTCCTTTGGGGGCGACGGCAACGCCCTCAGTGAGTTTGCTGGCACCAGCGGGAGTTTCAAGTTTCTATTCACCGGGGAGGCGGCGGACGCACTCCGAGCTTCGGGCTGGGCGGCTCCGCTTCCCTCGACCGCAGGCTTCGCCCGAGCCCAGCACTGTCAGCAAAGGCTCGACCCTGCTGCGGGTTCGCCGTATTTCCCTGGGGACTCCCGGACCCGCAGCCTCCTCCCTCGAGCTGGCCCGCCGGGGACCGCGACCCCCGGCCACCCCCGGAGCCAGGCCTACGGCAGCGAGCCCGCGGGAGGCGCGGGGCGCGGGGCGCGGGCGGCCCCAGGCGGCGGCGTTGCGGCTCGGGCCGCGGCGCGAGGCCGGCCGGCCGGCGGGGGGAGGCGGGGGGCGCCAGGCAGCCCCGCCTTTTCCCCGAGGAGGTGCAGGGCGGCCATATTGCGGAGCTGTCTGCGGCGGTGGCGGCGCCTCTAGTCTCCCGCGGCCCAGCGCTCGCACCACTGCCTCTCCCTCCCTGCCGCAGCCGCGCCGCCGCGCAGCGCCCCAGCCACACGCCGGCGGGTAGGAGCCGCTCGCTCTCCGGGTAAGCCGCGGCGCCCTCCCTTCCCCCACTCCCCGCTCCTGATTCCTCCGGAGACGCTGAGGTGGCGGCGAGAAGTTGCGGGGCCCGCGCTGCCCGGCTGTGGCGCCGCCGCCAGGGCCTGGCGCGCCTCCACTCGCGCCCCGCCGGCCGAGGCGCCACCGTGGTAACGGCCCGGCCGGCCAGGCTCCTCCCGGGGCTGGCGGGGACCGCGAGGCCCTGCCCGAGTCTTGGTGGAGCTGCGGCCCGAACGTGCCCGGCCGGGCCAAAGTCAACCCTCGCCGCCGCGCGATTCTCCTCTCCTCTGGGAGCAGAGTCAGCCTTCAGCGTCGGCCTCGGACCCCCCCGCCCCCTGGGGACGGTGGGTTCCCGGGTGCCTGCAATGGGCTCTGGGCCCGGGCTGGCATGGCCCCGAGGGTTGTTTGAAAATCCAGATATGCAGCGTAGGCAGAATTCGATTTTGCATTTATTAAAACTTGTCTCCCGACCTCAGTTTGAAAGGAAGGGTGTTAAATTACTAGAGAGCGTGCGTTCCGCCCCAGTGGTAAAGGGGATGTTGCTTGACAGGGTTTGGGGCGCCAGCCGCTCCCGCCGCCTGCACCCGCCAGGCCAGGGCCGCGGTTCCCGGCCGCAGCTCTACCTGCTGCTGTTGCAGCTCTCGGAGCCCCGGAACTTTCTCTGGCCCTTGAGGCCGCTCAGTTTAGTGTCTCCGACCCCAGCAGACAAGTTCAGTACATGATAGCACTTTTTCCCTTTGAACGATTCTAAACTCAATTCTATGACTAACTTTGGAAGGGGGCAGTGCTTTTTTTTCCCCCAATTTAAACAGACTACATCATGTCCTAGACAGATGTCATGTTTCTTCAAACATTCCCAATATTTGATATTTTTTTCTTTCTTTTTTAAATTCTACCACTAAGATCCTAGGAAACAAGGTATTTTTTTCTTAAAGAGTAATTATTAGTGAGGTTGGAATTGTGTTAAAAGTCAACTTCATAAAAATCTTTTAAAATACAGTTGAGATTTTTGTGGAAGACACGTTGCTGAGGAGCTCGGTGGCAGTCCTGTGGCTCTAAGACTGGCAGGATGTAAATGCAAAAGCCTAAGATAATAAGTTTATTTGATAAACGAGTACTATGACATAGACATTGCAGTCTATTGTTTACGGAGCATACATTTTCCTTCTTTTTTTTTTTTTTTAAAAACACGAAATACTCTTTTATATGACTGATGGAGCTAAGAATGAACAATTACCCCGTTCATGTTGCCGGATAAATAATGGCTTGATCCATTTGCCAAAACAGCATCATTGGATTTGAGAAAGGAGACTAATATTCAGGATTGCAGTTTTTTTATTTTCAGGATTTGCTTTCCCCAGTGTGCTTGATCTACCAGGGACTAATACTTCAAATACAGCAACATGTAAAACACGCCTTTTGAAGTTAATAGTATGCTGTAAAGAGGATTGCAATGACTTCGTTTCTTGGCTTAATCACTTTCTTATGTATGATGGAATTTAATAAACAGCTGGTATACTATTAGTGAGGAATGAATAGGCATTGGCATTCTTTACGGTTTTGTTTAAATGAGACAGAATTTGATTATGGCATTGAAAAAACGTTGAGTTCTTGACCTTAGGAATCACATACAATGTTTTGTTCACTCCTGTATCCCCACACGTGAAGAGTATGTAGAAGAGTCTCAGAAGTAGCTGTAGAATAGATATAGTTAATTTGGGTGTAGGGAAAATATGTTGAGTTTTTTTTTTTTTTTTTTTTTAATTATAATTACTTAGCTGAAAGTCAAATTGATTATTTTTCTTTTAATGGTAAGAAATGATGGACTTTGCTGTTCTTTCCCTCCTTTGCTAAATCTCAGTAGTCTCAGAGATGGGAAACGGGTTGTTTTTCGTTTATTGGTTCACCATTCCCAAGAGCAGAATTGGATTTTTTTTTCTTTTTTTGAGATGTAGTTTCTCTCTGCTCAGGCTGGTGTGCAGTGGTACGATCTCGGCTCGCTGCAACCTCTGCCTCCCGGGTTCAAGTGATCCTTGTGCCTCAGCCTCCCGAATAGTTGGGACTACAGGTGTGCACCACTCACTATGCCCTGCTAATTTTTGCATATTTTAGTAGAGACGGGATTTCGCCACGTTGGCAGGCTGGAATGGAACTCCTGGACCCCAGGTGATCCACCCGCCTTGGCCTCCCAAAGTGCTGGGATTATTGGTGTGAACCACTTCACCCAGCTGGAATTAGGTTTTATTATTAATTTTTTATCTTGGACAGGCTGTTGTAGTGTTGAAATTTTTATTTTACTTGCCGTTCTCAATCTTTTAACCTACTTTGTGTGATCTGATACAATAGAGTCTGAAATGGTGAATGATGGTGGGAGTCTTGTTTTTTTCATCTATTTTTAATGTAATGCATTTTAATTTATGCTATTAATGTTTAAAAATGGGCTCAAATTTTAACCAATATTTCATGTAGACCAAAATTTAAAAAATTTGTTTTATTAAGGTTGTGAAGACTGAGCTGTGCCAGCAGAGTTTATCTGTTAAGGTGTAGCTAACTACAATTTCATGATACTGCTGCGAATCTGGGAAGTCAAGCAAGTCACTCTTGGGTGGCAGGGACCTTCCTGCAGACCACTAGCTGGCAGGCAGTACTTAACTGATACTACCCCTGGGGTACAAGATTCAGTGGAGCCGGATTGGGTTGCTATGGACTCCACCATTAAAAGATTATTTTAAGTCTCATGGCATTACTGATCCATCTAAAGGTTGTTCTGGTAACTTCCTTGACTGCTGCAGCCAGGGTGTGTGCTCATTCTTTGGTGGTAGAGGTGGCTAATCTAACCCCAGAGAATTCCTCAATTTCCAGCCTATATTAGAGAAATTCCATTTTTCCTACTTTAAGTTCCTGGTATATTAATATTTATATTGAATGTATAGTTTAAGCCATTGTAAGAACTATAAAAGTGATATATTTTATTGCAAAGTTTAAAAACCCAGAAAAATGTAAAGGGAAAGGTCAAAGTCCTCCTTACTCCCTAGAACACCCCAGCCCCTCTCCCAGGCTTGTTTTCCATAAGTAACTGCTGTTGGCAATTCCTTGTTTATAGAAAATGCCAGTAGGTATGCAGGGATAAACATAGACTTTATATCCCTTATTTGTGATTTTAAAATCTTGTTGAAATAGGGTTATATTGTAAGAAACATTGAAAGGGTGCTTATTAACTTGTGTTAAACATTGAGTAAATAATATTGTCATGTTTTCATCATTTGAATAAAAGCACGCAGTAGAATTTCCTACACTAATTCTCAAGTGTGTATATGTGCAACCTTGTTTATATACAGATTTTCTTGATTAATGATTGAAGATAAGGTTTACTTTTTGTCTTCTTTCTAGTGTATGGCATATAATTGACAGTGAGAAATGGTGTCTTTAAGAAAAAAAGGGTTTATGATTTGGGGTGGGAAATATCCACACTTTCTTTTTTTTTTTTTTTTTTTTTTTTTTT